GAACGCCAAGCTCAAGGTCTTTTCCGACTACCACCCTGCCATGTGGAAGCTCATCGTCACCTACATCCCCATCCTTGGTGCCGTCCTCATCGGTGGTGCGCTCACCATCGACGAGTTCCACAACTGGTACGACATTTTTGCCGGTGCCGCTATTGGTATCGTCTTCGCCTTCTCCTCCTACCGCATGACCTATGCTGCCGTCTGGGACTTCCGCTTTAACCACATCCCCCTCAATCGCGGCCAGGCCTTCCACTACGGGCTTGACGCTGAGCTGTACGATGCTGTCTTCACCCGCAAGGCTGGCTGGGGCAAGCGCGGCGGTGGCGGTATCATGCACCGCGATAAGGACGCTCATCACCACGGTGTTGCTACTGGCACCCACGGTTACGACAACGGAGTTGGCGCTCGCAAGCCTGTCGGTTCTGGGTCTAGAGCACCTGACACGATGGTCTGAATGGGCATGTCAGCAAGTAGAGCACTGTCATTGTGCTACACATGACAAGGTGTCTTAATCGACCTTGTCGGGAGACTTGTCTACTCCAGTAATGGTGTTTGAGGAGTTAAATTTATGAATAAACGGCAAAATACCCCACAGTACAGAAGCTTGTACGATAGTCTTGGCGTTTTCTTAATGAAATTGTAATACCAACAAAAAATGACAGGTATCCTCGGGTGAATCTATCAATGCGTACGCGAAATTATCGCATTTCTCGGACTCAGCTCAGCTTGGGCAGTAAGAAGTTCTCGCCCAAACAAATGGACAAATCTGAAAGCCGCTTAAACATAGGCATGTGTCTAATCTACCGTTTTAAGTGGAGTATTTGCAAGCGTCATGTCATTGTATTGAAAGACGCGCCTGAATACCGGTCCCCAGGGTCGCAAAAAGTGATTTTACTTCCATAGCTCCAGACGCTTCAGGGCTGCCGACAGCAAGGAATGCATCCACATCCCGCTGAGCCCCAATCGTCCTAAACATAATGAGCTTGACACCTAGGCCGACTGAAGCATTTCGATGTTCTGATTTGATGGAAGTATGCACGCTTACGCTGCAGCCAACGTGTGACAAGCCTCGAGCCTGCGCAGCCTGCCTTCTTTCTCATCCGTAACCAATGAGCTGAAGACGCGTATCCCGGCTTGTTTTCTGTTATTTCATTGGGGATGTTCTAAGAGGCCAAGACTCTAAGTCCCTAAGGCTGACTTCGTGACTAGTGTGAATATTGTTCAAGACACCTACAGGCTGCTGCTACCCCGCAGTTTATATTCCTACTATCGCATCCCTCAATTCATTCATGCTCTCAAACGCCAAGCGATTTTGGCCAGTTGCATGCAAGCTAGAGTGTTCCTTGTGACGAAGTGCATTAACACGTACTAATCAGAATCAGCAGTCGAATCATCGGGTCGCGAAAGCCAATGTCCAGGGTTGGTTCCGCGCTGTCGGAGGCGAATTACTGAAGAGCTTTGGGATCTGAGAGAAGATAGCTACATCCGCTCTTGTTCTTTGCAAGCATTCCCGTTGTATATTCCCTTCTATTGTTCTCTTGATTATCCTGGCCGTTATCCCCATCTTCGCCTATATCGTTCATATCCGGCGAGATAGAGGAAATCGCGCCATCAGCAATCCTTGTAACGTTCTACGAAAGGATGGACTCTGAAGAGACTGAGATCCATGGAGATCACACCCAGTCTCAGCTATTGAAAACACGGCGAGACCTAGCGCAGTTGGCGCAGGAAAGTTGTCCTTCAAGGTTCAAGAGGATTCGTAGCTATCAAGAGGAACATCGCGATTTACAGGTATGCATTATGAACGAGTACCGAATGCAGCTGCTGTTCAAGCCCAGTCTTCAATACATCTACAGGATCGCTCGGCAGTCGAAACTCATCGTACGATTTCCAAGAGGCCGGGAGTCTTTGGTTCTGCATGGAATGCAGTCAAACCATTCGCTAGTACATTGAGGCAGAAGCAAGAAATCCACGATGCTGCAGATAATGGATCGTCTTTTCCCAACTTGAGGCATCGTCTTCCACACCAAGCTTTGACCAGCAAGGTGCGGAGAGAAGGCACGGTCATCTTTCCAGTGTCACATCTCTCGCTGGAAGGTAATGAATACTTCGATAATGTGCTCAACATGACATATTTTGACTCGACGTATGCATTGTTCGAAGGCGGCACTTTCTGGTCCAGTGGGCCTGAGGAGGTGGTAAAGGGGCTCTATGGGACCCAAATGAGCACAGGACCAACATCAGAGACCTTCATTGTTCTGGGGAAGCTATACCCCAATCGATTCTGGGCTTTGAGGGGAACGAATAGCTCCAGCTTCAGTGTAAGTTACGTACGGTGTGATCCTTGTAGCAGATGAGTGGTGAACAGTGACGCAACATCATAAACCATCTTACCAACCAAGGCTGACTCTCTCAAAAAGTTTACCCTGAAACGCCTGAGCAAAGGCATGACTCCGGAAAGCTTTCGTGCTGAGGTTCGAGTACTTGAGCGCATCAACTCCGCCCGGCACCCTCATACTGTTGAGGCACTTGCGGCCTTTTCTGACTTGTTTCCTGAAAAGCCCGTGTTTATGATTGCCTTTCCCACAGCGTTGGGAAGTCTTGAACAACTCTTCCAAGGGGCCTTTGATAGGACGGACGTCGTATCATCCGTAAAATCAGCTGTGCGGCATCAATTCCTAGGACTCGCAAGCGCTCTTGCACATCTCCATGAAGTTTGTCACATAGCACACGGAAACATCGAGCCATCCAGTATTTTTATTTACGATGGTGGACAAAAAGACGAGCTGATCTTAAAATTGGCCGACTTCGGGATCGCTATTGATCTGAGCGGTATTATTGCCGATGAAGCAGCGACAGCGAGGTCTGGATTACCATCATCGGGTGTTACGAACTCTTACAGGGCCGACATCCGGAAAAAGCATACGGCCTCTGACGTTTGGAGGCTGGCCTATGTCTTGACTCAGCTTTCTGTCTTCGCGGACCGAGGCTCCCATGGAGTTCTTGAATTCAGAAATCGCCTTCCTGTAGGATCCGTCAGAAACCCAATTGTTTCCTCGGCCGAGAGGTGTAGCAGTAAAGAGATGCACCATTTCATGGAATCATTAAAGGATTGCGGTATGGATCTAGAGACACACATTGCACTTAGTGCCGGTGCTTTTCGCAACGAGGAACTACTCCCCTTGAATGCCATTCTCTTTAGGCTGCTGGGGAATAATCCCGCGGCAACGACCGCTCGAGAGTTCTGCGAGCGTTTACTCAAGGTAACTACTACCCTATAGGGATGGATCTCTGGCTGTGAGACTTCAGGCAGTTTCGTGAAGGTGCTGCCGACAACTTTCAGCTAACAGTATTTCTCACCTCAGGTCCAGGGGCAACGCCACTACGATGGCAGGCGGCTCGTTCAGCTTTACGCTTATGTAGACGAGCCGAGAGTATCTCATGTGGATCGCTTGCGGTTACAAATAGAGCAGTGGGCGGGAACCCACATAGACTGGTCGCCACTGCCACCGTTGTCGAGGCCATGCTGTCCGGGGGAATTGAGAGTTGACTGGAAGGCAAGTCAGAACTTGTTGTCTCCTATTTCACATGCAACTGGGAGCTAACCGATAATTTACTTATGTATTAGTATGGTGGAAGGACTCTGTCAGTAACTCTATCAGCCGACCAGGCTGATCGCTATAGAGCATTCTGTTTCCCGTCGCTGAGGGATGGAAACCCAATCCTCCCGATCTCCCAGAGGAAGGACTCGGGAAACAAAGATCCTCATCCAGTAACTGTCCAGCCGTCACAGAGACCGATTCTTGATGATCCGGAAGCAGGGCCAACGGCAGCCGGCCCTGTATCCAGCGACACAACACCACCCAGATCTGTAACGAACAAGCCATTGATGTCGAAAGAGGTTTACTGGTGCGTGGATAAGTTTTTCAGTGAACCAAAAGAGATGATGCGCGAACCAATATCTCTCACGGATGTCTCGACAGATGATCAGTTCTACAACCATACCAGACAAGCTCTTGGTCGAACAAGAGGATCGCTTCTGAGCGGCTTCATTGGTGGCTTTGACTGGCTTCGAAATCGCTTGTCTTGGAAGACCTGTGTTGGCGTCGAATTCACGCAGGTTAGCATTGAATACCCCTAATCATAGATATTATATGGACTCAGAGGCTCGTGGTGTACTTTTATAAAGGTGGTACATCATCTAGCTAACAATTAATGTTTTAGTTCTACATCATCAAGGACGGTCATGACCAGGTTTTGCTTGGCGACATAGGTCTTCCCCCTTTGGAGAACTTGGGGCCGGCCCGTGATTACGAACACGCCATTCACCCGGCAGACGATATACAGATGAAGTTGGTCGCCGCTCAGATCGTCTCCGGGCTAAGACACCCTGCTGGAGTTCAGGGGCAAACGGAGATGATATCCCTACTGCCGAACAAGAGGGTCCCTCCGGATTTCAACATGAAGATGAGGACGATGGGTTGGGGAATGCACGCGAAAATGGGTATTTCTGTGAAGAAGATGCTTTGGTGGCTGCTGTTCTGTATTGTGTCCCTGATCGTGTCTGCTGCCCCATGGCTCATATGGGTGGACCGCTTTGATCTGCAGAACGCCTTCATACCGGGAAGCACTATCCTCGCAGTGCTGACGATCGGCGTTGCGGTTGCGCAAACAGTCGGTTGAATGGAGCTTTCATGTATTGGACTGCGCCTGAAATTCTATGTTGATTAGTTTTAGACCAGAAGAAGTGTGTACCGCTCCGATGGACGAATAATTGATGTGTGTGGCGTTATGCAGAGAATTGACAGACGTCTGACCATGGTCCTGTTCCAACACCTAATGTAAATTTACCTAAGCACCCAGACGATCAAGGTGCCTGATGCATCCAGAGAGGCATTTCGATTCAGCACTCACCCTTACTCCCGTCAACCTCTCTCATCGGTCGCTCTGTGGTCTGCACAATCACACAACTTCTCTGCGGCACCGCCGGTCTGCTAGCCATGCGCGAAAACAACGGGAACACACTCCCTGTGCTGTCCAGGAAGGATGTGGAGACGCTGATTGCCCAGCGCCGCAAGCTTTTCATCCCCGACGACTTCGTCATTAAGGCAGACGCGTGGATTCCCTACCACCCAGGCGGTGACAAGTCGATCCTTCACATGGTCGGACGAGATGCCACAGATGAGGCCACGGCGTTGGTTCTCCCACGAGTTCACTCTCGCGTGCCGAGTTCGTGCCCGGATGCCACCGAGCACGCACTTGTTGAGTAAGATCGAGGGATGGATCACTTGCTGACTAGCAATGCACCACAGTCTTCACTCGATCGAGGCAAAACAACGTATGAGCCGCTACCGCATCGGGACTATTCATGGCAGATGGGAGAAATTCGTCCCGCCTATCCAGGGTGGCAAGTTCCGCGGCCATTCTGACAGTGGCTGAGATGCCTATCATCATGCCGACACCGCATAATCTCTCGCATCATCTCCCGCCTCTTCTTGCCGCTCGAATGTCCCTGACAGCGACAATTCCGATGGAGTCAGCTCCATGCACCGGAAGAGCCGCACCACAGGCAAGGCTTCCAGGTCATCCTCTTTATCGTCGGTTACTTCTACCCACACGAACGACGATGCCATGGCACACCTCGATTTCGTCACTAAGCAAAAGATCTCCCTCGACCTCGAGACCTACTCTCCCTTGGATCACGCTACCCAAGACGCCATCGTCGCCGCCTACCGCCGCCTCGATGACCGCTTGAGAGCTCAGGGCCTGTATGACTGCAACTACAGGACGTATGCCATTGAAGTCTCCCGATATAATATGCTCCTCGCCGCCATGCTGCTTTTCTTGCATTGGGGCTGGTACGTGGCCAGCGCAGTCTGCATGGGGGCCTTCTGGCATCAGATGTCATTTGCTGCCCACGACGCTGGCCACATAGGCATCACGCACCGCTTTCACATAGACAGTGTCCTTGGAATCTTCGTCGCCGATTTCATGGGCGGTCTGTCCCTCGGCTGATGGAAAAGGAGCCACAACATCCATCACATCGTCACCAATTCGCCCGAACATGACCCGGACGTCGAGTACCTACCCTTCCTGGCTGTTTCGCATCGGTTTCTGGCCGGTCTGCGATCTACCTAATACGACCGTGTAATGGAATACCTGCTCATGGGTCAGGCTCCTCGAAAGGGCCCGGCATGGTGGCATAGGTATCTAGAAATCGTCGGTCAAGTCTTGTTCTGGAGCTGGTACGGTTATTATGGCATCGTCTATAAGTCGATTCCTGATCACATGAGCCGGCTCATCTTCTTTATGGTCAGCCATGTCACCGTACTTCCTCTCCACGTCCTGGTAACCCTTTCGCAATTTGCTATGAGCACCGTCGACCTCGGCCCGCAGGAATCGTTTCCACAGAAAATGCTCCGGACCACTATGGATGTCGATTGTCCTAGCTGGCTCGACTTCTTCCACGGTGGCTTGCAGTTTCATGTGATCCACCATTTCTTCCCCCGCATCCCTCGACATAATCTCCGCCGTGCACAAAACTTGGTACAAGAGTTCTGTAACGATGTGGGCATCCCCTATGCCCTGTATGGTTTCGTGGAGGGAAACGAGAAGGTCATTGGCCCTCTGGAAGAGGTATCAAGGCAGTCTGCCATTTTTTGCAAAGTTCCAGAAGGAAGTTGCAAGCCGTGGTTATAACCTTTCTGCACATGGTCTTTGATGAGGATGCTTTGCGAGGGAACACGCCTCGTACCGGGAGGAACTATCATCGACATTTTCAAGACTTGCATTATTGCGGAAGAAGTGGGTTGAGTCAGTTTGTCACGTATGGAATTACGACTAAGATTTGGAGTTCTAATACCAAAAGAACACGACATATATCAGAGTCTGACGTCCCATCGACCAGACCTAACAAGATCTCCCTTAAGCTAAGGCAAGCTCATGAAGAGTTCGAACATCTCAGGAAACTTTGGAGTTCCCAGTCCGGTAACTGGGTCCCACCCAGGCACCGCAGAGAACCCTTTTGTGTTGTTCACGATGAACATCTTATACTTCAGCATTAACTCCTCTCTAATTACACATCGTCGTAGAGGGAGGCCTGGAATCTCTCTTGATCCAGTCGTGCCCTTCCCTGTCACTAGACCAGCCTGATCTTTGTATCGTTCTACCTATGGCAAAGTGATCATTCTAGCCGTCGCTCCATTCATAGTCCTTCCGCAAAGCTTCCACGTTGTAAGTGTCGCCCAATTTGATAATAACAGGCTCCCACACCACTCCTAAAATTGAACCCCCCTAGAGTCACAACTTGGATACTTAGTCACGATTTGGGTGTTTAAAGTTCCAAGAGCCTCATTTCCCATCAATAGCATGTGCTCACAGTGAGCCGTGTGGTTGTAGTTGCCAATGTAACTGTCGATAAAACCTCCCGCTCCAATAGCACGATGAAGTTTCTTCCACATGAAAGTACAGTGTGCCCGGTGGTAGGCGAAGGAGACAAAAAGGACGTCTGTCTCTCCCTTGAGAACGTCTGACTTTGCCACTTCCTGCGTCCCACCGGGGTCAGCGAACCACTTCCATGGCTCAAACATCTCGAATTCTTTGGTGAGTTCCTCATCGAAACATGCCGGGGGCAGCCAAGAAAAGCTCATCAGATCGAACCGGCAGCCACCCGTCCTTGCTTCTTGGAACGATGCACCGCATGTATTATTCGACTGAGTGGTGGGATACGCTGATGAGCGTAGTATGAAAATGAGCGCAGCAGCCCCAAGTGTTGTTGCTAAGGCCGACAACATCAATTTTCGCGACATCTGGGAATTCCGTTGGCGTCTTGAGCTGCCCGTGGTTTCAGTCGATTCATCTGGTTCGAGAGCCTCGTAGGCGATAGTATCGACATGTTGACAAGTACTCGACATTGCGCGTGAAAGAAATAAGGAAACGTACAGCCTGAGTAGATCTGATCAAGAGATGGTAAAGAAGGAAAAGCTGCAGTCTGCATATCACCGCGACACAGGGAATGATTTGCCAACAAGCAAGACTGATCTGCAGTGATGCGTGTTTCTTGAAAGAGGGCACGAAGTTGGAGTATCCGATCTTGCAGTGGCGTCGCTTTCGTGCCGACAGGAAAGTACTCTTCCCTGATTCGACCCCTCCCTACAATCTCCGATGCCGCATTAATTTCAGCTAAGAAAAGGTAGCATAGAACATAATATGTGTTGGTACGATGTTGCATCGAACTTTTGTCCCCCCCTGCGTTCAAGTTTCCCCGCAATCGTGCAGCTCACAGCCACCGGAAGGCTAGTGGAACTTTTGGGAACCCTCTACGAGGCATTTTCAAGTTCACTGGGCACTGCCGCCTAGCATTCTCGTTTTGGCAAGATTGTGTTTTCTAACTTCCCTTTTCTGGAAGAGGATTTTACTCCGAGGTAAAAGATGTTAGCGGAAAGATTCACACGTGAAGCTGATAGCTTGTTATGCGACGCCAACGTGAAATACATTACGTACTGAGAATGATGCCTTACAAAATGTCCCGTACGGTGTTTATGATACTGTTAGATTTATTTTGATCTGGCGCGGAGAGACATAGTCACCCACGGGAAGGTTTTACTCAGAAATCGCGAGCAGAAATTCAATTGATACTGAAGCGATAAGTGGTTGGAAATTCCAACTCAATCAGACCAGATCGTTAGGTACATAGATTGTCCGATCAAAGTGAATAACCTTTCGTTCCTTAGCCCAGTCCTTTACAGCCTCGAAATCCCGACATGTGTGCAACACCCGAGCAACTTCCTTTGACTCATGCTCGCTCTCAACCCAAACCCACGGAAGTGGTGTGATATCCTAAAAGAATGTTAGACGTCAGTATCTCCACGATCGAATGTCCTACGAACTGAAGCACACATAAGCGATTGGCGTATGGCATCGTAGCAGTGCTCGAGGTGTTCAATTCCCATGAGTTCGTGATCAGGTGGGTATTCCGTTTTATCGTACAGGCTTTTTCGCAGCATATTCTAGCGAAAATCAGCGGCCTTCCCCTTCTGCGAATCTTGTCTACTCTGTTGTGTTGGCTTCCGTTCTTACAAGGCAGTGGAGCTGGTGAAAGACGTTGAGTTCGATTACATAGCTGCCTTCCTCGCCGGGCAATGGGACAGTCTTGTTGATAAGCTTAGCAGCAGCATCGCGGGGGATTCGGCTGATGCCGACTTGGCAAAGCTTGTGAGACTCGGCAGCGACTTGGCAGGCGAAGGCACTTACACCCGTACAAATCATCCCACAATGCATTGCGTTCTGGGGTAGGCGGACCCTGATACTCAGTTCGTTCTTGACCAAAACCGCTGGTGAAAACAATATTTTTATATTGAATGGCCGATATAGCAGGTGCTGGAAACTTGTGAGCAACCTTGAATAACATAAAAAGTCCTTCAGCCTGCTTGAACTTACAGTAGACCTCTTCGATGACTGGGCTCATATGTCGGACATGGGCCACCAGAGAGATACATATGACCCCTAGGATAAGGTTTGCAACCCCGAATATCCCAAGGAAAAGCCTGTAAAGCCTCAGACAGCTGGCGTCTACAGCTGCCTTTGGAACTGGTTGATGATCGCTCGCAAGGAAAGGTTCATCCACACTTTGACGAGGATCATGCTGGAGAAATGATGCTAAAGGGAAAGACTTCATGTTTCGTGTGATTGAGAAAGTAATGAAGCTCAAGAGTGCCAGGCGACAAGTACTGGCCAAGAGAAAGCTAACAAGTAGATGTCAATGTTCTTGATGTCAACTGAAAAGTAGGTGGCCATGAGATGCAGTTCTTTCCCAAGATGACGTCGGACTCAGAAAGACTTCCCTGCGCGCCCAGGGACGAGTCAATTTCCTGACACATCAAATGGTTAGCTTGCCCTTATCTTCTGCGCAGTTGTACCCCATGCCTCCAGGCCAATTTTGGAAGAGCGGAGCGCCGGAAGCGATAACCAGGAGATCGATTGAATTGGCGATAGAACTTTTGAGAATTAATTCATCAGGTGTAAAGCCAATGGCACCAACCAGCCTCAAGAAGTTGGTAGAACCAAGGCGTGCGATTTCTGATCATGCAGTTGGTTTTCGCCAATATCCTAAAATGGAAGTTGTTCAGAATAAACTGATGCACAAAACTGACGACTCTGCAGTTAATTGTTGCGAATATCTCAAAAAGGAAGTTCCTTGAAATGAGTTGGTCCACAGAAATGACGACTATGCAGGAGGTTGTCGCTAACATGGATCCTAGAAAGGAAGTTGTTCGAAATGATCTGATTCACGAAAACGACGTTACAAGGGGTGTTTCGATCACTGTCACTCAGAGTATGGACTGACCGTGTGTGTAACTTCGCTCAGCTAGCCAGAGGTCTCGATTACTCACTCTACCTTCGATCTCAGCGCAGACGGCAGACGGCCCGCAGACCACGCGATAAGTCTCGGCTACTCATTTGCAGGTGTGCACCAACAACCGAAGTAATATCCCTGAGCATGGGCTGCCTGCCTCAGCTCCACAGCTAGACAAAAGAGCTTCGCGATCTCCGGGCGACTGATAATCTACCCCGCATGGTGCCTTAATGGACCGCGGCCAGATTTGATCCGGTTTTAATTTGGTTTCCCGAGCGCATGATGGAGCTGGTAAAACGTATGTACGTATGTGGCGGTGCATACGGGGCCTGCGGGTACACTCCGTTGCGTTGACAGCGTCCGCCCCCCTTTTTTTTCCCCGCTTATGCAAAAACATGAAAAAAAGCCAATTTTACGCTGTGACGCGCATTTCTCTGCATCGCACGCAAAACGCGTCAAAGTCATCACCAACACCTCAATTGCCGTCAATCACTATAGTCCCAGTAGTATTCAAACGTATAACTACACGATAGAGACATAAGGTGTGTATTTCATGCTTCCGTAGCAGTCAATCTACCCATCGAGGCATTGCCAACCCAGCTAGTCACCTCATCCCCATACCATTCGACCAACAAAAGGTCTATTTTCGTCATGAGAGATC